CCTTAACTCCAAGTACCAAGCAGGGTCTTTTGCAGAAAAGTTTGCTGTCTGTCAGGAATCCGGGCCACTAGCATAGCTTGGCACAGGCAGCCCAGATCCCAGTGGCCTTTGGGACTCCTCTTCACCACAAGGGGCTCCCTCCTCCCTGAGCTGCAATTTGTGTCTGGAGTGTTTGTGGGACTAGAGCAAGCATCTTCCACCACCCACCCTGTCCACAACCACACCACCCCTCCACCCCCACCAATCCCCACCCCTGATGGTGTGTATGAGAAAACCTCTTGGTGGGTGTGATTCCGGCAAATTTATACCCCTACCCCTAGTGGATTTGAAGAGGGGGAGGCTTGCACTCATGGCTTCCCTGTGTTCCCCTACACCTACTTCACCTACCCCCACTAAGACAAAGTCCAACCAGAGCTATTGAGAATTCTTTCTTCAGAATGGGGTGGTGTGTGGATGCTTGTGTGTTCACAGTAAATCTGTTTTTCTGCAGGCTCACCCCAACCCAGAGTTCTTCCATCCTCACAGCCTGGAATCTTCCTAAATGTCTTCAAAACACCTCATTCCCACATTTGTGAGAGTGGAGAATGATGAGCTCCACTTCCAGGGTGGCCCCACAACCCCCAAAGGCTGATTGCAGAAGCACATTCATTGCAATAGCCTGTGACAAGCCAGGTTCTCTGAGAAATCTGCTTGGGTTCCATCATCATATCCCCACCTCTCCAGCCTGCTCCATCCCCAGGAGGTATAGCTGGGCTGGACTCTACACACAAGTAGGCGTCCAAGAGCAGATAACTGCTACAGTGGGGAAGAGGGAGGGGTCACCTGTCCTCCCTACTGGCAGCCCAGACTCCTGTCTCCCATGCTCCCATACAACCAACCACCTCTCTCAGCCCCAGTTGGCCCCAGTTTTCAGTGGCAGCATCCATGGAGAAGCCCTGTTCAGAGACCTTTGTCCCCTGCCCTGGCTGAGAATGAAGCCCACCAGATGAGACATGTTCATCTGTGTCAGATCCCAGTAGATATATTGCAGGCCCATGGAAGCGTGCCTTGTACCCAACAGTGTTCCTATGCCTACTGTGAACACATCTTTGAACATCTTTCCATGTGTATTTGTTTTCAGACATACTTTACATATGGGTATGTGCCTGCATGTGCACTTATACATGTAGAAACGTGTGTGTGTGAGTGAGAGAGAGAGAGAGAGAGAGACACCTGTGTGTGACACCTGTGTGTGCACTGACACCTTTTACTTGATCGAATACCAGCAGGAAGTCTGAGGCTCAGCCTCTCACTGGCTGTGTGCTTCCCAATGAGACCCTTTCAATCTCAGGATTAATTTTTACCATTTGTGAAATAAGACCTTTTTATTTGCACATCTTAGAGCAATACTCCAACACTGGGGCTGCAGTAAAAGACTAGGCATCTTTTACTCACAGGGATCTGTCTGCCTCTGTCTCCCAAGTGCTGGGATTAAGGGCATGTGCCACCATGCCAAGCTTTCTTTTTATAAGTCACCAAGCTGGGGCAGCCTTCTTAATTGAGTTCAGAGGAGAGAGCCAAGGCCTCTGGTGGGGCAAAGGGTATGGAGCAGTGCTGCAGCCCTGGGACCAACATGATCTTTAATTTGAACCCACTGTCCTGCCCAGCTTAAATGAGCCAGGTTGTGTAGCAAGTATGTGGGGGTGATGCTGGATGTATGGCCTTCCTTTCCCTCTTGGCCCCCTTCCATGTAGGTGAGTGGTAGAAACAGAGAATAGCAAATCATATCATGTGTACTGCTGGGAGAATGGCTTGTCTGGAGCACACAAAGGAAAAGCTAAGCTAGCCATTGGAAGGACTCCACAGCCACCCCAGAGAACGCTGAGCACTGGGACAGGCCCTCTTTCAGTGCCTCTGGCTTCAGCTTGCTGGATTCATTGGAGCTGCCAAAGCTCACCCTTGCCTCACAGCACTTTAGTCTCATAGAGGGCTATGGGGGAGGGGAGAATAGCTTCCCAGGTGACTTCTCTTCCTGTGACTGGGAGGGCTAGGGTAGCCAGAGAATGGGCAGGCTAACCACCCCTCTGTGCCCTGGGCAAGCTCCATTTGGGGGCCTACAAACCAGACACATACACACACCCACAAACACACCAACCATGATTATCAGTTGGGGCCTATATAACCAAGGCTAGATAAATACAAGCATGTGTCTGAATGCCCCTGCAAAGCACACAGCAGATATATAAGCACACATAGACCCACATACCTCTGCCTCCATGCAGCTTCCTCCCTGTTTCCATCCCACCTCTCCCCTGAAGGAAAAGGACTTTCCAGGGAGAAAACAAAGACCTTTGCCCTCTAAAGAGCCAGGGATCAATACTGTTTAGACTCCTGTAGCATGTATTTCCTGCAAGGCTGAGAAAGATTTAAGTTTATGGTTCAATCCAATCTTTAAGGGAGGGGGAGGAAAAGGACAAAATGAGGAAGTTGGGATGGTATGCTCCGAGTATTTATCTTAGGGTAGCCCCGCACTTTAATGTACAGGCGGCTCACTGAGCCAGCCCCATAAATCAGAGAAATCAATGCCCATTTATGATCATTATTACTCTCCTTCTGTCTTTTTTAAAAGAAGGGGTGCCAGAATAAGGTCTCATCAGAGTCCGTTGCCCCTTCTTCACTGTCCCAATCAGGAAAAATGAAAATTGGAAAGGGGAGGGAGAGAAGATTGGACAGTCATTCATCCGGACCTTGACTTCTAGGCCTTGGCAGATCTTTGAGGTACAGGCTACAAAAAGACATGGGCAACTGGAACCAGGGACCAGATGCTTAAGTTCTTGAGCTCTGGTTTCTTCAGCTGAACAATGAGGAAAACTCTATTTGCCCATGTGATTAGAAGATAAAGGGAGCTAATGGTTAAGAAATCAAATTATATCACAATACTGTTCCCATCATATACTTAGCAAACACAGGTGGGGAGCTGTAGTGGCCCTCTCTTCCCCTGCTGGTTTCTGGGGAAGAGCACTTGGCTTTGATCTTTTTGTACCCTGGTCTTCAAGAATGGGACATTTCCCAGAGCTACTCTGACTCTTACCTCTGTCCTAGTCCCTGAACTTGATGGTCAGAGGATGCTTGGGTATTCTATGGGAACTGCTGCTGGCTTAAGGGAGAAGGGAGAGGAAATGCTAAGTCAGAATCACTTCTGGGTATGCTCCTGAGGAGATGGGGTCTGGGACTCTCCCCAGATTCTGAGTTGGTTAGATTAGAGGGCATATACCCAGACCCCTGGCCTCAGACTCCTTCACCTGAAGATGCCAAGCACCGAAAAAGAAAACAGACTCTTCCAGTCACCAGGGAAGAACCCATCCAAATGTCTCTCTAACTCTCTACACAGGGATCTTCTGAACACCTATGATGTGCAGAGGTTCCCCCCCCCCAAAAAAAAGTGGTAGGATGAAAAAGAGCCACCACAACAAAGTTGAGGACCCCGAGCAATGTCAAATGGACTTCCAACTCCTCTTAGGGCCACCCAAACCCAAGCTCCCAATCCCTTGTGAAGGGATCTGTATGAAGCCCTTGACTTCCAGGTAGAGCCTAGCACTTTCACTACCCTGGCCAGGAGTAAGTGGAATGTTAATCAAAATTAGGAGGAAATTTTCTTCAAGGAAAAAGATGGGATAACTGGGCCATTCTCATTTCTCTCAAAACCAACAAAAACAATAGGAACTCAACTCCGGGGGCAAAGTGCAGAGAACAAGGTTCCCATGCACGCACAAACACAAAAATGCACTGGGCAAGCAAACATTCGGTGTGCAAACACTGATGAATGTGTGCACACTCACACCATGAGCTCACAAATGACTCTAGAGAAACAATCACCCAGTTGCACAATACAAACACATACAATACAAACAAAACTGGTGGGAACTGAAATTCATTAAGATGTACACATTATCACATACAAATATGTGGGACACCTATTTACATACAGACACAAGCACATACACATTACATACATTGCATGCAAGTAAGAAGAGAAAGCAGAATCCATAATTTAAAAAATAAACAAAAGAGAGCTGGTGTCTCTTGAAGAGGCACCTCCTCTTCTCTCCCTCTTCCCAATGCCTTACCCAGTGCCAGTCCTAGGAGGACCTACCCTTGGGCCACTGGCAGAAATCCAGACAGTTCCCTCTGGGCTGTCCAGGTGTCCTGCCTATCCTAGAGCCTTGTGTGTATGACCTCCCCCCCCACCCCCGCAAGACACACACACACCTACAATGAGGAAACAAGCCCGGCTTTGTTGAGTCTTGGGAAGGGATCCCCGTACTTAGGCTTAGGATCAGGAAGAGGTAGGCCTGTGGGGTTATTTTGGGTTTGCAGGCCTACAACAGGATCACTGGGCACAGCTTTCCTACCATGAAGGTCTGTCTTCTCAGTGCTATGAGACCCTGGACCAGTAAGGCCCCATGTAACACCCTAGACCAACCATCTTCCAAGAGGACTCCCACCCCCAAAAGGAGAGTTGAGGTCCAGGCTGCAGAGAAGCTGAACCAAAGCTAGGCAGCTTGGCAAGGCAGACATTTCCCTCACCACCACTGCCCTCCTGCCTTTGGAGGAGAAAAACCTCTAGCCAAACCCATACTAGGAAGGAAAAACAAAAGAGGGAAGGGAACAGGTTGAACTGGAGGCTTCTGTAGGCTGAGCCTGCCCAAGCACATGGAGCTACACAGGATCCCCTAGGCCGGCAGTGATTGGGAAGACTTTCCAACCTCTGGGTCCCCTTGAACGGTTTAGCACCCAGGTGTATCCTCAGGCCCTCCAGACCAGGGTCAAAGGCCGAATCTGAGTCTCCTGTATCCTAGTTCCTTCACCCCAGCAATTCTTGGGTATTGATGGTTAAGGCCTGGCCAGAGAATCCCCAGCATGTGCGCCCACCCCCTGGGCACTATGCACAGTTGGGACCAGTCGCCTGGACACACGCCCTTCCCCATCCCGCAAATAGGAGGGCGGCCAGCAGGTCGTGAACACAGTGAACATTTTATTTCAGACTACAGGTTTCTGAACATAATAAAATCTTTGGCTTGTAGCGGCGGTTCAGTCTCGCAGTCTGTGGGGTTTTATTTCTCAACGAGTCCAGAAAACGAAAGGGGGATGAGGAAACGACAGACAAGACCGACAGAAGGATCCTGGGTGGGTGGAGGAGAGGCAACGCAGACAGGAGAGGAAACACTCATACACACACAAAGAAAAGTCCCAGAGAAACCAGGGCCAGCGATGCGGGTCGGGAGGTACCCAGAGAAGCAACCACATTCAAAAGAAAAATGCAACGAAAACGAAACTGGGCTGGGGGAAGCGAGGTGGGGAGAAGGAAGGATAAAATAATTATAATAATTATAATAATTATAACAATAATAATAAAGAAGATTAATAAAAATGTCCAGCAAATAGAGATCGCTACACATATATTTTCCTTACCTGAAATTAAATATATACACGGTCGTAAGCAGTTTGGCTAGATAGAGCTTTAAGGAATTCGCAGTTTCGCCCCTTATCCTGTGAGTTAGAGAATAAAATTTTTAAAAAATTTTTTCCCATCGCACCTGTCCGAGTCTTTCTCCCATTTCCAATAGGTTTCGTTCCAACTTGGCTGTCCACTCGGAGGATCTCTTTCTCTCCCTCACTTTCTGTCTTTCCCGTGGATCCCTCCCTCCTTCGCGTCGATCATGTCTCCTTGGCGTGGGGCCGGCGAGGCTGCAGCCCCGCGGTGCCAGGAGGCGGCGGGGGCGCGACTGCACCGCGCTGGCCTCGGGCCGGCTACGGTTACTCGCTCTCGTCTTTGTCCTGGACGGTGGTGGTGGAGTGGTTGTACAGTCCCTGGGCCATGAGGTGCAGCGCCAGGCCGTTCTTAATGCCCGTGGCTTTCTTGATCTTGGCTCGCTTGTTCTGGAACCAGATCTTGATCTGGGACTCGTTGAGGCTGAGCTCCTGGGCCAGGGTCTGTCGCCGCTGCTCGGTGATGTAGCGGTTAGCCTGGAACTCCGCCTTGAGTCTCTGCAGCTGCTCGGCGGTAAACGCAGTCCGCGGCCGCTTGTCTTCCTTCTCGTTCTTTTTCTTCTTTAGCTTTCTGGTGCGCGGACCTGCAGCGGGCCAATAGGGCCGGGGTGAGGGTCGGGGGTACAGAGAGCACAGGGAAAGGGGAGAGCGCAGAGTAAGCTTTAAGAATGGCGGTGCTGAGCCTACCGCCCGGGCCCCACGCTTCCTGGGCGATGGTGGAAGCCAGAGGCTGGGAGCCTGCTGCCTCCATCCAAGAGCCCCTCTCTAAGCCACTGGGATGTCTATGCCCCTCCTGGGAGTGAAGAAGTTATGGAGGAACACTGGCAGGGCCTTGGGAACACTGTACACCCCAATTCAGGAGAACTGGAAAGAGACTTAAATCACAATACTTCCAGGCCAAGAAAGCAGACATCCACCTGCCTAGCCTAGACTTAAGGATCCACCTCTGCCCTCTTAGCCTTGGAAATAAATGGCCCCCGGACTGGTGAGCAAAGGCCCTGATAGGAAAGGCTGGCCGGCCTTGGTCCTGTCTTTCTTCTCAAGAAGCTTCCACCCCACCCCACCCCACCCCCACCCCAATACACACATTCACAAGTAGGCCTGTGTGAAGACCCTACCTGCTTCTCAGCATTCACTGAGATTAAGGGACAGGGAGGAGGCTGAGCGGGTCACGCTGAGCGGGTCACCCAGGTCCAAAGAACCTGATGCCTGTTCTTACCACCCCCCTTCCTTTCTGTTTGACCCGAAGGAAGCTTTTAGTGGAGTAAAGGGAGATACTGCTCCTGTTCTGATTGGGCTATGTCCCTAGTCCATGAACCTAAGTTCCAGGACATTCCACTTAGCTTCCTGGATGGTGTCAGAAAAAGAGGGCCCTCTCCACCCCTCCGCATAAGCAGACCCTGTTACTTCTTTGAATTCTCTTGCTGCAATTTCAGGACACAAAACTCCGAACAGACAGAAAACAGGTTTTCTAAAGGGATGGCATTTGGAAAGAGAGTTCATTCTGGTCCCCATTCATAACCAAAGCAAGGGCTGAGGGATGGGGATATGATGAAGAGACACTCACAGCCAGAACCTATGCTATTACCCGGCAGGATGGATGGGGGGGAAAGGCCATAGGGGAGCTCCCCAAGAAGGTAAAGTCTCCCTGAATAGCTAGTATGGAAGGCTTCCATGGGGTCCAGCTCAGGAGAGAGAACAGCAGAGAGGAGGGGGCTACACTGCTGGGCGGTGGAAGCCTGCATCCTGGTATTCTTGTCAGGCCTCTGGCATTGAACTGCTGGGCTCAGTATTGGCTATGAAGGCCTGTGGACTCAACTGAAGTCCCTGCCAGGCCTGTTACTCCACAAGTATCTAAAAGAAGAGTCTTGGCCAGCATCTCCAAACCTATCAGCTCCTAGATAAACTGAGCAACTGGATCCTGCACAAGGCCAGCACTTACGGGTCACCAGCTGTCTGTGACTAAGAGTACTGACTCAATAGACTGTAGGAATGGTGTCTAGGTTGACACCCATCTCCAGGAACTCTCTTTGGAGAAGAAAGATATGATCCCTGCCTCCTCAGGCCTACGAAAAGGAAAGCAAGAGGGAACAAAGAGGAGGCCAGCTGCTAAGCAGGACTGGGGTTTAGATGAGTCACAAGCTGAGCAGGCAAAGATGGCCCAGGAAATGTGCACATTCTCTGAGAGGCTCCACTGCAGGAGGTGCGTCTGGGGTATGTTGGAGTGTTGTTGTTGTGTGCGTGTGTGTAGAGGCACGGACACTCGTAATAAAATCGTAGCTTCCCGGCTCGAACCTCTCAACCTGACAGCTCAATCACTCTATCCATCAGGCGAGTCAATCAAAGCAGCTTTTCGGAGGTTCAGGGAGCCCGACGTGTCAATAACGGGGCTCGAGATGGCGGGGGCTGATAGCGCGCATCGATCCGCACCGGCCCCCAGCAGCAGGGCAGTGAGAGGCCCGCAGAAGAGCCGCGTGTGGCTACTTTCTGCCCGGCCCCCTGGCGGGGCCCAACCGATCACTGAGAGCCAGGGTCCCTGCCACTCTCCTAGCGGCCCGCTGGCCTTGTAGAAACCCCTGGTCCGTGCTGGGGCAGCAGGCCTGAGGCTGTTCCCGGGCAGATCTTGCCCTTAGGTTAGCTATATTGAGGGGTACACGGAAGGAAAGCCAGAAGAAATGGCCCGTGGATGACAGATACCTACTAACTGGAGAATATGCAAAGGAAAAAGTGAAAGAAGGAAGCAAAGGGTGGGGGGGACATGGGGGTCTCGCCAGTGAAGGACTTGTTGTCTTGTCCATTGCCCAATTTTAAAGCCCGATTCTGGCCCGTTTTCTTACCTCTATCACTGCCTAGCAGCTCCAGAGAGCCAGGGAGCCCGGCACTCTTCCCCGACTACGTTCTCTAGATTTTCCCTACACGGGTTGGCTCTGTCTCTACTTAGGCTGGAAAAGGAGGGAGGCACTTTTTTTCTCTCTCTTCCTGTGTCCCCATATGTCTTTATATAAATGGACAGTCCGTAAAATAATAACCATGATGTTTGTTAACATGGTGCAAAGATGATTTCTCTGGTCAAAGCGTTCCCTGATTAAAGCCGGCCCTAACAAGACTACGCTAGTAATTTCAGATCCAAATCACTAGGCCCACTTTCCCGCCAGCTCCATGCACTCCTTTCCCTAGAAAAGAGATCAATGAGTAATTGTGTATCTTTCTTAAAGATAATAAAACTAAAACATAAAAAGTCCCCAGGGGCTCAGAGTTCGAAAAAACAAAATAACGAGACTGGAGGCGGCCGTGCCCATGGCTACATGGTGGCAGAGTCCAGGATCGCAGAACCGAGTGTGCATTCGGTTGTGGCTGGAACCCGGGACTGGAAGTGGAAACTGGCATGAAGTGAGAGGTCTTGGAAGGGGATTAATTTCCCCAGCGCGCGGGTTTGGCGTTCTCGGGTGTCCCCGGGAAGGCACAGCGCAGCCCCAGCTGGAGTACTCACCCGAGGATGGACGGTCGGAGTAGCGCGTGCAGTAGACCCAGGCGGGCCAGACCAGGGGCTGCTGCGAGTCAGTCTTAACCACCGGGCCGCCGTTGGCTGAGCCCATGAGAAGGATCGCCGGATTGCCGTGCTCCGGGAACTTGGCGCCCTGCGCGCCAGGGCTCCCGGCGCTGCCTCCACCGCCACCGCCGCCGCAGCCGCTGCAGCCGCCGCCGCAGCCGGGTTCCCGGCTTTCGATGCGCTCGCGCCCACGGAGGCGGGCTGGGAGCCGTCGGGTGGGCCACAGTTCGCATCTGGGGCGCACAAGAGCGAGGCAGCGCCCGGAGCCCGCGTGCCCAATGAGTGGACTGGCTCTCTACCTGCACCAGTCTGGCCCCGGTCACGCTCCACCCGGCCTCCTCCTCCTCCGGCGCCTCCTCCGGCTGCAGCCGCCGCCACCAGGAGCTGCGGCAGGGGCTGTTCCTTTTTGCAACCGAAATCAGGCCTTAGGATATTGTCGATGAAAAAGTTGGTGGTGCGGTGCAGCTGGGCCGCGGGCTGCGGCTGGTGAGCAGGCGCCGCGAGATGCTGCGGTGGCGGCGGCGGGGGCGG